CAGCAGGAGAACAAGACTACCAGAAGACAATAGGGCTATCACCTTCTAAAAGGAGATAGAATCTGTATTAAAAGGAGATAGAATCTGTATCAGCAATACAACAGTATACTCTCCAATATCAATTTAATTTGTTTTTTTTACATATGCATATTCTATCATTTCGCTTTCTATAGCAGTGTATTGATTCCAATTTTTACCATCATTCCAAAACCATATTTTGATCGTTGATAATTTCATTGGAAAGTCTTAATATTTGATTATATAAATATTTATCTTATACTTAATTACTTATGCTAAATAATCAAAATTGCTAAATAGGTTTAAGTATCTTCAGCCTCTATCTCTATAATTGAAGTATGCCATTACCTCTCTTTATCTAATCTATAGTTAATTAAAAATTTTTATCCAATTAAGTTGCAATAATTATATACGAGCCTTATATTTCTTCTTTTATTACAAAAGAATTAAATTATAATTCATCTTTTATTCTCATCAGTTTTGTATCCCTAATTTTTAAAGTATTTGAATTTATTTTGTTCTATTATAATATTTTTGTTAATAAAAACTATTTCCTACAATTCATCATTAAAAATTAAAACTTTTGTTTAATCACCTTCAATAAAATGTTTTAATATTATATTATTTCCATTTCTTATTACTGTATATTCTTTAGGAGCTCGAAAAACCCAACTTCCTAAATTTTTATCACAATATTGTTCAAAACCTTTTATATTATATTAAATTTTAATTAAATTAAAGAGTTCTCTATTGATTCTTTTGCTATTTAAAAGTTTTTGATAGATTTTTCACTTATCCTTCGATTAAATCCTTTTAAAAATAGAATTAATTATTTTAATAAATAAAAAATCAAATTGTCTCATCTTTGCTGTAAGTCATAAGACAATTATAAACGCAAAATTTCATAGACATTATTGACTAAGACTTCGAATATATTCTCTGTGGCAGTTCTTAAAGTTAAAAATTGTCATAAACTTCGATACAATCATTCTTAGCAATAAAACATATTTGAGAATTCCAATAGTTCATTTTAAATTATACAATTTAAATTTTCAAAAATTTAGTTCAATAATTTTTCTGTTATTATAGAATACAATATGATTTTTTAAAATTAGAATTACATCATTAATATTGAAACTTAAATATCTTGGTAATTAGCCATTTAGCCAAGGAATTAAACCAAAAAATATTTACTAAATCTCTACTATTTGAAAAAATGAATTAATTTTTTTTAATAGGTTCTTTTTAATGTTCAAATTAAGTTTTTTAAATTTAATATATTTAACTTTGGCGAGCAAATTGATTTTTAATTTTTAATTCTGATATGGATCCATCTTTTTTACTTATCAGAATATCACCATTTATGTTTATCTAAAAGGCTGTAAATTATTCACGAAAGAGTATATCTTCATTCCATTCCTCTGATTCTTAGTTAAAATTGAAAATTGCAATTTTCCCTTAGTTTTATTCTGTAAATATAATCTTATTTTCATTATTATAGAAAGTAAATTGAAGGCCATTTTGATAAGGTGTAAATAGAAGTAATTTTATATCACTTCTATCAATTTAATAAATCTATATAAAATCTTCTAAACTTATTAAAAATTTTTTTGAATCAGATGAAAAAACACAAGTCTTTAAACCCATAGGAAAATTTAGTTATTTAATTTTAATATTTGTTTCAAGATTCCAAATATAAACTGAACATTTTCTCCAAGAAATTAAGAATCTACTATCTGGAGAAAATATAAAATCTATTATCTCTATTAATATTTCATCTTTTAATATAAACTGGTATTATTAAAGTTACAAAACTAAATTTTAACTCCTTTAAACTTAGATCCATCTAAATTACTACAAAAGAAATTAAGTCCAGAAATATTAGTATCTATTAATTTAATTCCTCTTAGATGCTGCTCTTATAAATTTGTCATATTTTGACAATTCCACAACAAATAATAAGTTTCGTTTGATATTTAATAGATTTTATAAATCATGTTTTATAAAATCTATAACACCTCATAATGTATTCTCCTGTAAAAAAATCCTAAATCGATTTATGTTAAAAAGCTACGAGATTATTATTAAACTTAATTAAAGCACATTTAATTAAAGGGTTGTAAGTATTATCATTAAAATAATCCTATTTAAAATCCTTTTTATCATATTTTTTTAGCTTTTCTAAACTTAAATTAATTTAATCCCATCTAGTCATGTTAACAGCTACCTCCATTTCAAAAATATTTATTTACTCTTTCAAATCTTTTTCTTTGATTGTATAATTTTCACATTAATTAATTTTTTTTTTCTTACTTAACAGGATGTTAGATATATATATGGATAATTTATAGATTTGGTATAATGTTAGCTTTGACAAATCAAGATGCTTTTTTTATTATAACTAAATCTTTATCTGAAAATTTTTCTAAACACTCAATTTTTAAATTAGATTTTCAACATAATCAACTTATTCATCCGAATCATCATATATAATTAATTCATCTCTTACTTTTTAAAGCAATAGACATAAACTTAACTTTTTGAGTTTATTTGATTTTTTCAAATTTATCAAAAAATACTATTAAAGAAATAAAAATAAGTTTCTTAATCATCTAAATTGAATTATATTAAATTTTCCAATTCCTTCAAATATTTCTTAGTACTTGGAACGATTTCATAGTGAGTTCTATTTTGAGAGAAAAGTTGAAATATTCATTAATAATAGGATAACTAAAATAAATCTTAAATAAAACAAACATGAAAAATAATAATTGATTAGTATGTAAAAATTATTATTATTTTTTGGGTTATTCTACATTTGAATGATACAAGCAACCCATATCATATGAATTTGAGAGAAATAATCTTAAAATAGCAATAGAATTCTTATATTTAAGTTCTCAATTTTTTACGAAAACTTACTAAGATTTTGCCAATTTTAAAACCTATCCAATCAATTTATTTTTATCCTTTTTTATTGAGGAAATAATATGTTATTAGAAATGTTAAAGATGGTTTGAAGTAATTTTATATTAATGGTAGGAAAAAAAACCATCAGCAGAATAATCTATTATATATCAATAAAAATTATTTCTAAAGATTTAATAAGTTGATAGGAAAAGATATTTATTAAAGTTAAATTAATTAAAAAATATTAAAAAAAATGTTCAAATTAGGTGAAAATTGTCTATTAATGTACTTGATGTATGATAAATATTACAATTAATCCATAAGATTCCAAAATTATCTGATTAACCAGTCAATAAGTAAATTGAAGATATGCTTTCTATAGATATTATATTTTTGACATTAAAGTTTACAATTTGAACATTCATTTAATAATTATGAATCAACATTATCACATTGTTCATCATTTGTAATTATACCATTTCTATAAACACTATTACATATATTTTTTAATTTATCTAAAAAATATCCTAATTTACCTTAAAAACATTTACCATTTTCACAAATCTTATCAAATATTATTTCCATCTTCACATTATTCTTAATTGGTTAAATATCCATCTCCAAAAAATGATAAATCTTAATTAGTAAGATTATCAAGTTAACTTGAGATTTAATTGCATTTTAAACATTAACCTTGATAACAATGCTCACAATATTTAGGGCAATTATATTTGCCACGAAAACACCCATCTTAAGCTACTAAATTCATATCATCGCATTCTTCATTCCTCATTATCTTCCAATCATTCAAGTGCTGTATATTTTTTAATGGCAAATGGACCCTTTTGGGGTTTTAAATTTAGTAAATTTTTTTTTTCTAGAGCTAGATTTAAGCACTTCAGAAAACTTATTTTTTAAAATCTGAGTATTAATTTGTGTTAATAATAAGATTTTTATTAATAAATAAATATCGTGGTGTGCTTAAGTCTTTGGGTGACTTAGGTTATTGGTATTTTTGTTATTCCGATTTGGAGTATTGTTTAGATTTAACTAAGGCAAGCTATAAAAATAAATCCAATATGACCAAATTCACAATAGAGCTAAATCATTTTCTAATTCGAAGTAATTTTTAATATAAAGTTAAGAGAATAAATAAAATACTTAGTATTCAAATCGGCATATTATAACAAAGGTTAAAGATAGTGATGTTACTAAGTCTAATTAAATTCTAATTCTGAAAATAGAGAAAAAGAACTAAAATAAGGGTTTTATAAATTTTAGCTATTTTTTATCATATTATTTGTATGAAAGATCAATTTTGAAAAGGAAATATTTACAAATTAGATTCAATATTGGTCCTAATACTCAAATAAATAAAAGAAAAGTTGCAAAAATTTCTATCACATTTATTTAAAGTAATTGAAGCAATATAACATTCATATATTATTTCATATACTAAATTTAACTTATAAAATATTGTTTTCTGTGTATCTTTAATTTATGTAACAATTGGGTATTTCTCAGCAATTTCTCTGTATTATTATACATTATATACATGATTTTTAATTTTATATTCAAACATTAATATTCCCTTAATAATATTAATTGATAAAAATTAATTAATAGAGAAAATAGAAAAAAAATGCTTCTAATCCTACCTGTTTATGTCTTAATTGGTAGAGAAAGCCATAATAAATTTTATCATTATTAACATAAATTCAGAATAAATATTATAATTCTTCCTTCCATAGAAAATAGTTTTATATTTAATTCTAATCTATCAAGTTGAATCTAAGTTTATCAGTTTAATTTATTTGCATTTCTAAACACGATTTAATCTTAATCGAGAATGTTAGATAATCCATTGATTGTATTCAGTTTTTCAAAGAAAAAAATATAGATTTTGCTTGGAAGCAGGTGAAAAAAAACAATCATTAATTTAAACTTAAATTCTAAGAAAAAGGTAAGATATAAGAAAAGAGACTAGGTCATTTCTATGATTCTTCTTATTAATTAAAATATGACAATAAATAATATTTCAATTAAATTTATAAGAAAATCAAGCTTATTGTAATTTATCCTCATTTTAATTCTAAGAAATAGTTCTTCTAGGTATTTGAAAAATGATGGCTTGTTTAGCTGGATAATAAGTTTCATCAAGAACTGCACAATTAATATACTAAATTCCATCCTCTTCTGTCATTCCATACCCTTCATGCACATGCCCAAATATATGATAAAGTGGTTTCACTTCTTTTATTCTTTTTGCTAATGCTTCATCTCCCCATTCTCCTCTTGTACGCTTATAATGATGAACATATGAACCATGGCCTAATGGAGCTCCATGTGTTAAAACAATATCAGATCCTTCTTCCATTATTTTCCAAAATTCTTCCCCATCTTCAGGATCCACTTAAAATGCCCATGGATTATGAAGTATTGTTGGAGAATATGGGCTTCCCCAAATCTTATATCCTTCTATATTTACTGATGAATTCTCTAAGTAAATACAATTTTCCTTTAATTCCTTCTATAATTCTAAGTGATACCATGGCTAACCTTTGTGGAATATATCTTTAAGAATTTCTTCATATTTCTTTGTATCAAGAAATGTATCATGATTTCCTCCTATCACAATTTTATATTTAAAGGGTATTTATTTAATCCAACTTATGAAATTTTATACATCTTTGTATTCTCCACAATTTGAGAAATCACCACAATGAATAAATATATCCCCTGGAGGTAAATCAATAAACATAGAATGAGTATCACTAATACAAACAACTGTTAAAGGTTTTTCCATTAATTCTTTTCTTAATTCTATTAATTGAAAAATTTTAATTAATTGAATTAGAAATTTTTTTACTTTAAAAAATTGTAAAATATAGAATAAATTTAATCAGAAATTTTTGAGGTAGTTAAGATAATTCAATTCGTATATGGAATGTAAAGACAGGAGAATAAAAAGGAAAATTTGATGGTCATAGTCATTATGTCTATTCTGTATGTTTCTCTCCAGATGGTTAGTCTTTAGCATCTTGTAGTGATGATAAGTCTATTCGTATATGGGATTTAAAGTAAGGTTAATCTATTGAACCCACAAATAAACTATACAAAAATATTTTACTTAATTTTAAACTCCACCCTTGAACAATAACCAACTTTTCAAAAGTACTATTTATTTATTTACATATCCTTACATTAATTATTTGTCCATACCTATATTTTCAATGTTAAAAGGCTTTAGTCCTATAAGGAGAGTTTATAAACCATTAAGGTAAGGATTTGAAACCCTTATTAAAATAAAGAGGAGGGATATTCTTAATCAATATAATTGAATAATCATAATCTAAGAAATGATTATTTTCACAAATAAAATTTATAATATTCAATATAAAATAAAGTAATGAAATTATGTTCAGGTGTTTTGCGAGCTACTTTTTCAAAAAAGGGAAGCAAAAGGAAACAACTTAAATTTCATCTTTCTTAAGAATTTTTTTAGGTATTTGATTAAATTTATATTTGTTTCAAATTTTTCATTTTTCTTATCAAAATCTAATAAAACTTAACATTTTGTTGAAAATTCAAAAAAAATATAATAATAACTCATTAAAAAAGTTTTGATATTGATTTTTTTAATAGTTAACTTATTAGTTTTCTTTGATTTCTTATCAATGCGATTTGTATTAAAGATCTTTTATTTATTGGTATTAAAGAATTCCATAATTTTATTAGAATTATGAAAAATGGCTAAAAATTTTCAATATTTTATTATTGTTCTAGAATAATAAGTTACTATCCTGGAAGGTTTATAAATCCTAAAGTATTAAATTTATCATACTTTGTGTTTTTTTAATATATTGAATACTAAGCTAATTTAAAATCACTCAAAATTAAATGATCAATTTAATATATAAATTTATTTTTAGTCAAGTCACACAAAACGAATTAGAGGTTGCAAGAACTCCATCATAGTTGGACAAGATACAACAACAGTAATTGCTTAATTACATTTCTTGCATAATAATTACATCCAATTTTTTTTACTATTGCAATCTTTTTAACTTACAACTGATGTTACACTAGTGCAAAACATTTCTACACATACATTACCAAGAGACCACTAAATTGAATAATAAATTTTGGATAAATAAACTAATTCCTTTTTAATTCTCTTAGGACTTATATTAATATGTATTTCTAATATTTTTTATATTCTCAGAAATAAGCAATTTGTAACATTGTAACGCAATGGCTTCACTTATTTCTGGAGTTTCATTATTATTACTTAATCAAAAAACAGGTTTAGTTAGATATTAAAAATTTTTAGTTTATTCAAACAGTTTCTAGCAATTATAAAATTATTTAAGGTTTCTAATGAAGTATAAATACTATTTCTAGTTCTTGGGATCAAAAATTATAATTTAATTTTTACTAATGTATCTGATCTCGAATGACTTTCTTGCTACATGAGCCCTCAGTCTCATTTTAAAATATCTTAAATTGATATCAACATTATCAACAATTTTTTATTATAAATCTCTACTGATTATATTAATTATCATAAATTATACTTATAAACTATTAGAATTATTAATTTTATAATTATGGTTTAGATTTATTAATTCAACTTTTATAAATATAAGTTTTTGTTATTATTTATCTAATATTGGCTATACAATCGATTTTTAATATATTGAAATCTTCTTTGGCAAGCATACAGGATCCTTGATACAAAACTTTAAGCTTTTCTAAATTTTCATTCACAATTAAGAAATAAATTGTCTCTATTTCTTTACACTATTTTAATTAAATATTTTCATTTCCTTTTTTATCATTATCAAGAGGACATCTTTTTTAATGTTTAATATTGAATTTCCTTTGTTAAGCTTTCGTACTTAATTTCACATAATTAAATCTTTTTGAACAGGAATAAATTAAACAATATCATACTCAAGTATGTTTTAAACCTTACAAAGTTATATTCAATAAATATTATTTTCACCACAATTAATGAATAATTATAAGATATTATTTTTCTTAAGCTTATCCATCAATGTTACTCTTTTTATATAGACTTTAAATTTCTGATGTTGCTTAAAAAATTATAGAATTTACATCTCATTTATAATACAATTTATATATTTCTGAAATAAGCATATTTATAGTTGTTTTTTCAGCTTTTTATAGATAATATGCATTAAAATATATAAAATTAATTAAGAAACCTTGTTTTGCTATCTTTCTAGATTAAATTATCAATTTCTTTTGTATCATTATAGTGATAATAATGTTATTTATTACTAATTATAATAGACAATTCCCAATACAAAATCTTTAGAACAGTGATGATTACTCATTGATAATGAGTAGAATATAATTAATAGAAGCAGCTCTTTGAAAATGAGGATTTTTTTAAACTCATGAAATGTCAGTCTACTAAATTATAGTCCTTTATAGCTCTCTAAGTTCTTAGGATTGTTAAGAGGCTAAAAAGAAGTTATGTTTTAAATTTAATGAGTCTAAATAATTTGATAATTTTTATTATTTTTACATTTAATTCTAAAAAGTATCCCTGCAATTCTCGGTTTATTATTTCTCTTATCAATAATTTGAAACAGAACAGCCTTTTGTAAGTTTGAGATTATATTTTTCCTTAAAGATGAAAGATAAAGATAGTTCAGAATATTTTCTTTTAAAGTTCACAGATAAAGTAAATTCTTCTTAATTTAATAAAGATTTACATTAACACCCTTTCCCCCTTTTTGTAAATCCACATTAAAATGGAATGGGTTTAACCTTAGCTTCAAAAAATATTGCTCATATCATTAACTAATTATCTAAAAGGAACTAATGGTTTGGGAACTTCAGTTTCTACCATCAGGTTCATAAGGTGCTAAATAAAATAAATACAAAATCATAAAATATTTTTAATTAGATTTTTATTGAAGGTAAATAATGCATCATCAATTGCTTAAATAAGTAAGGTTTTTAATCATGTTGAATAAGAAATTGAAAACAGTGTAAAAATTTATTATATATTTCTTAGTACATCATTTTTACAAATGACAATAGTAGATAATATAATTACAATATTTTTTGGTGTCTTATTATTTGAAAACTATTGAAGTAATCATATCAGGTATATTAAATCAATTAAATAATAAGAGATTATTTAAATAAATTATGAGAGCATTAACTCCCTTAGTATTACTAAAGTAATTCTTATTTATTGATGGATATGATCTTATGGCATACGAAACTGCTGCTAATATTTGACGTAAATTCTTTTTTAAAATCATTTATATCATCCGCCTTTATTAAATAAAAAAAAATATTAGTTGATAATTCTAATTTGAAGGCCTACTATGTTATTAATTTAGCTTTTTTTTTCAAGCAATAAATCTAAAATTTATTTGATTGAATTTACGATGACTTTCATTAATTCTTACTTAACATACGAATATTCTGTTTCCTATTTTTTATTTTTAAATTATTTTATGATATAATAGGGTACCATCTTGAATTTAAGGTTCAAGTTATAAGACAAGCTATCTGATTCTATAATCTTCGTTCTCTCTTTCTTTCATTATCTTGTCATATAGAATAAATGAATTCAATAATATATATTAAATATTCAAGCCAGAATTACTTACAAATATTGTTATTTTAGTTACATACGTCGATTTTCAAATGTCATACCTCAAAACATCATTCCAATATCATTTAATATCCTCTTATCATTATAAGGTTGCTTTTTTATTCTGAAATTTTTTTAAATATCTCATTATTTTGATTTTCATGTTGAATCAACTGTTTGGACTTAATGAGAAAGAGCCATAACATTTTTGGACATAATTTTCTAAATAGACGACTATAAATCAAAATTTTCTGTGATAATTCTAGTAACTTCATTGTAGCTTGATACCTCAATTCATTTGTTACATAATTCTTATACTAATAGGTAAAGTAATTAGCGTGTATGCATTTACTGCTCAACTAAAT